TAATGTGTTAGATGTCCACTTGCTTTAATATATTTTGGCACTGGTACAGAAATATTGGCTTTACAAGTGGCTTATATTTTCCTCAGTATTCTAACATTCCCTAATAAGATGTATTATTTTCACTTTTATCAAACTTTTCCAATTCACAACGTTTTCCTAGTGCTGTATTTCAGTTCCTGCAGCTGCTGTAGCTATCAGCACTTTGCACTGATCAAAGTCTAGAGGCCTCTCTTACATCACATTTCAGACATTACTACAAGTCATGGATGATCACACATTCCCTGATACAATGTAAATTATTCATCTCACCTCTAGTGACAGCTGATGTCATATTCAGAAATGACTGTACTGAGGGAACGACTAGTTGGAGTCTTTGAAATGCCCTAGATGTGCATTGCTGCCAAATCTATTAAGAAATACCATGAGCTGAGATATGTAATGGATAGTTCCATACTCTGCAACTCAAAGCTCAAGCCTAAATCTTATTTTGACTGACAACCAGGATCACTATTCATTTTCCATCCACTGCCTCAGTTAAGGACTCTTTGAATATAAAATTTTGCCTTCACTGTTATGGCCACTGTGGTAGCCTTACAATGTGCCCCATTATTCCCAAAGTTCTATTTTTTTTAAAAATACACACATTACCCCACTGTACTCGACTTTCAGATGAAAGTTGATAGAAATCATGGACCAGGTTTCTGTATTGAACATGAATTATTATTTATTCTAAGTAATTAGACTACAAGTAAATAGATACAAACCATTGGCATATAACACCACTAATTATAACTCTAATCCTCTTATAAACTGCTCCATTACACACGCGCGTGTGCACACACACACAAACAAACAAATGGGGAAAATAGACTTTTGGCAGAGATTGAAAAGCTGGAAAGTCAGTTCAGTGGTGTTTGCTTCCCAGTTTCAATGTTGAAATGCACCTTCTTCAACTGGCTAGATCCCTTGGTGTTCAGATGTCCCTCTCTGGACGCTTTCATTGGTTTGTAAGAAGTGTGAAATAAAAGTTTATTCATGGAATAAAGATAACTATAGCTAGGCCTGCATTTATTGCCCATCCCTAATTTCCCAGATGACAGGTAAGAGTCAATCACATTGCTGTGGACCTGGAATCACATATCACTTTTTTGAAGAGGTGACAAAGAAGATTGTTGAAGGCAGAACAGTGGACATTGTCTATATGGACTTCAGCAAGGTGTTCAACAAGGTTCTCCATGGTAGATTGGTTAGTAAGGTTAGATCACATGGGATCCAGGGGGAGCTAACCAAACTGGATACAAAATTGGCTTGAAAGTAGGATACAGAGGGTGGTGATGAAGGGTTGCTTTTTAGACTGGAGGCCTGTGACCAGTGGTGTGCCACAAGGAACAGTGATGGATCCTGAGATAACACAGTGTGGAGCTGGAGGAACACAGCAGGCCAGGCAGCATCAGAGGAGCAGAAAAGTTGACATTTCGGATTGGGACCCTTCTTCAGAAATTCCCTCTGGAGTTCTTACCTTCTCTGACTCCAACATCTGCAGTTCTTGAGAGATAGATCCTGTTGTTCTTCATTTATATAAATGATTTTGATGTGAATATGGGAGATATGGTGAGTAAGTTTGTAGATGACACCAAAATAGATGCTGTTGTGGGCAGTAAGGAAGATTATCTCAGAGTACAATGGGACCTTGATCAGATGGATCAATGGGCCAAAGTGTGGCAGGTGGTGTTTAGTTTAGAAAAATGTGAGGTGCTGCATTTTGGCAAGGCAAACAAGGGTGGGACTTATACAGTTAATGGTAGGGCCCTGGGGGTTGTTGTTGAACAAAGATAACTAGGGGTACAGATTCATAATTCCCAAGAAAGTGGAGTCGCAGGTAGACAGGGTAGTGAAGAAGGCATTTGGCACACTTCCTTCATTGGTCAGAACATCGAGTATAGGAGTTGAGATGTCATGTTGTGGCTGTACAGGACATTGGTGAGCCATTTTTGGATCACTATGTACAATTCTAGTCACCCTTCTTTAGGAAGGATATTATTAAACTTGAGAGGTTGCAGGAAAGATTTACAGGGGTGTTGCTGGGACTGGAGAGTTTAAGCTATAGGGAGAGGTTGAATAGTCAGAGGTATGTTTCCCCTGGAGCGTCAGAGACTGAGGGGGACCTTATAGAGGTTTATAAAATCATTAGGGGCATGGATAAGGTGAATAGGCAAGGTCTTTTTCCTAGGGTGGGCGTGTCCAAAACTAGAAGACATAGGTTTAAGGTGAGAAGGGAAAGATCTAAAAAGGACCTGAAGGGTAACTTTTTCATGCAGAAGGTGGTGCATGTATGGAACGAGATGCCAGAGGAAGTGGTGGAGGCTGTTACATTTACAATATTTCAAAGGCATCTTTATGGGTATATGAATAGGATGGATTTAGAGGGATATAGGCCAAATGCTGGCAAATGGGACTAGGTCAGATTGGGATGTCTGGTTGGAGCGGATGAGTTGGACCAATGGTTCTGTTTCCCTACTGTATGACTCTATGGCTCTATGCATTTGATTTATCAATTCACAAGTCATTGCTTGCAGCAAATAGTGCAGGGAAAGTAACTGGTCTTTGACTGCAAGGAACAGGAAGCATCTGGCTGGGAGAAGGTCTGCACATAAGTTTCTCTTTCTCTGTGTCTCTGTAACTTGTTGCTAGCTCCAAACTGCTCAACTTCCTGAGAACCAAACAATTTCTTGTTGCCAACTAGAGCTGCATCAGTACACACTCTCAGCTCCAGGTTGTCTACTATCTGAACTTAAATTAATGAATGTTCAAACCGTTGTTTGCTATGCCTGTCATGGACATCAGGTGCTTGCTTCCAAACTATAGACACTCTTTGAATCGTTGTGTTTCAAACAGTTCTTTCTCATTTCAGTACACAGTTTTTAAAAACAGTGAACTAAAAAGACACAATCCTTGCATCAGCATCTGCCTTACATCTTTAACATTTCTCACCTGCTGATTTTCTCATTTCAGTATTCAACATTCAATGCATTATTCAATGTATTTACTGCGCTAATTGGATATCCCTTATAAAATATCAAACAGGACCCTTATGCATCCCGATTCTGATCACTATTACCCACACTAGATTACATAAATTGTGTAGAAGGTGCTCATCTTACTCTTATGGTGCATTTATAATATAATTTGAAATTGATCTTGTAGTGTATGTTATGATTCCCTAACAAACCAACAACTCAAAAAAAGAGATAACATAGTGTGGAGCTGGAGGAACACAGCAGGCCAGGCAGCATCAGAGGAGCAGAAAAGTTGACGTTTCAAGTTTTGACCCTTCTTCAGAATTTCTGAATTTCTCTCTACAAATGCTGGCAGACCTCCTGAGTTTCTCCAGCACTGTTTTTGTTTAAAACTTGATTTTGCTGTTTGTTCTAAGATCATAGAATCCCTACAGTGTGGATACAGACCCTTCAGCCCAAAATTGTCCATGCTGACCCTCAGAGCATCCCACCCAGAACCATCCCCCTATAACCTACCTAATCTACACAACCCTGGACACTACGGGCAATTTAGCATGGCCAATCCACCTAACCTGCGCATCTTTGGACTCTGTGAGGAAACTGGAGCACCCGGAACAAAACCCATATAGACAGGGGGAAAATGTACAAACTCCACACAGACAGTTGCCTGAGGGTGGAATTGTACCTGGGTCCCTGGCGCTGTGAGGCAGCAGTGCTAACCAATGTGCCACCATGCCGCCTGTAAGATTTTATAACTGTCTCACATAAATATATATATGTGTGTTTGTACGTGTGTGTGTGTGTGTGTGTGTGTGTTTATGTGATGAACTTACAACTATTGTTAAAGAACATCTGCATCCTTGTGTGAATATGTTTCAGTGACTACCTACTGTGGTAATCAACTGCGAAAATTAAAGATATGAAGTTCAAGCCAGGCTTCCTTCTGGGATCTGACTGGTCCAGTATTACCATCACATGGAATCATAACACTAGCCAGCTTGTCTATTTGTATCATTTCTCTCTGGCAAACCAGGATGGTGCTGTTACTGACTAATATTTCCAAATAACTAAGTCATGTTCTATACAAGACATTGGCATTCCAGAAACTGCTCTCCTCCCACTTTGGGGTTCTTAGCTTTTGTTCTAATCAATGTCTACCTTACAGTCTTACAATGAATCATCAATGAAATGTTGTTATCTCTCTAGTGAGAATCTTAACATGCTGAGATGTATCTCTCTGTAATCGACTTAAACTTTGCAGTTGTACAGTCAGGTGACTTAAAGTGGCTGTGCTGGAGTAGCTCTTAAAAGCTGTTTATCTAAAAATTATTAAATCATAACTAACAAAAAGGTTATCGCTAAGGGCTGCAGTGGTTCAAGAAAGCAGCTCGCCACCACCTTCTTAAGGGCAGCTAAGGAAGGGTAATCAATGCTGGCCAGCCAGCAATGTCCACGTCCAACAAAGAGAACTAAAAAAAGACATGCAGTAAGGGAAAGAGGCCAAAACTTATATAGAAAATGCAATGAAAATTGTATCAGGATCTATTAAAAATTGATTTGATGGGTAAATTACTGTAATAATACTGGTGGATGCTTGAATTTACAAGGATATTGGTGTGAAGATATTTATTATTTTTCTTGCTTTATCACTATTTTCTAAATAAAATAATTATTGTCCTACATTTTACCTCCAATGATTGTTCAGCAGAAAATTACCATTGCTTTTGAATTAGCAGAGTTTCTCATTTACTAATTAAATATTGGTGTGCATATACATTCACTTTCAGATTGCAATGTTTATAATTGCACAAGTGTTACACGTGGAATAAGTGCCTGTTAGTGGAAGAGTCAGTGAAATAACATTTACCACCAGGATAGTCAAATGGGCACAAAGGATCTAAGAGCCCTCTCGCTTGACCAAAGTGAGATTAATAAGTAGCAGGCCACATACGAACATATATAGACAGGTACTCCCACACAAACCTGTTGCGTTTATCATAAGGCTCCTCGTTTCCTGCAGTTTCTGAGGGAGGTGCACCAACTGGCTGTATTTCCTCTTTGTCCTTGGTTACAACAGCCACCACCTTTATAGTGCTGAAAGTGTTATTCTGTGTATAGCTCCACATACCCCAGTATTCTTCCAATACTTTGCCAAATGGTCCTCCTTTATGTATGGGTTTAATCTGTGTATTTAATGGGTTATTTGACAAAACTGCAATAAGACCAAGCCAAATATTGTTCTCATCTAAACGTACACATTTCTATTTTAAGTTGTTAAATAGTCATCAAGATTGAAATTCATGGCTGATTCTGTTCCCTTCTTTAGCTGAGGGATGGTAAAATAATTGTTCATGTATATTATGATCTTTGTGGTGGAGCCAGAAACAATAATAAGCAAATTTCCAAATGACACGCAAATGAAGAAATTCAATTCAATTTCTGTAACATTTACTTTAAAACAAATCAGAACCAGTGCATATTAAACATGAATTAAAAGATCAAATTTACTTCAAGTAAAGAGATAATTTTTCTTTGAATAGTCGAAATAACAAAGATATGTCTGTAATAACCACAAAACACTCCTTCAGGGTGTACGGCATATGGCATTACATAAACAAAGCTCCTACACAATCAGTTATAAGGAAGGGTCGCCGGACCTGAAACGTTAACTCTGTTTTTTCAATCACAGATGCTGCCAGAAATGCTGAGCTTTTCCAGCAACTTCTGTTTTTGTTCCTGATTTACAGCATCCGCAGTTCTTTTGGTTCTCCTGTATAATATGCTGTTGTTTATCCATGCAGAGTAGGTTAAGGGTCCCATCTGACAACGGCTTTCATCTCCGAGTTTCCTCCGTATGATTATCATTAGCATGGAACATTAGTTATCAGGCTCTCTCCCTCAGATTATGACAATCCTGATGACGTATGCTTTGAGTATTTCTTTTTGACCGACCAACTCATAACACCACAGGCCATTGTTTGGCCACTTCTGGGAATATCCCTCAGGCAGCTTTCCAGGTTTTAGATCTTTTCAGCACTCTCACACAGTGCCTCCAAGGTCTCTAGTATCTGTGTGCCGATCACCTTCTGCCTCCAGCTGTCCTTTGTGTTAGCAAACCATGCAACTTTCATGTGTTAACTTCTTTTGTTTTGGTACTGCTAATGGGTCAAAGATCGCCAAGTCAATAAACTAGTATTTCTTATCACCAAAGAAAATTACAATTAATCTCTTTATAAATGATGTAAAATTTAAAATCTCCTTTTCAGATATTCTTAAACCCAATTATAGATTCAACAAACAATTTAAAGAAATTATAAGTACTGCTTCTGGATCAAAGCTTGTCACAATGCAATTGCTGCCTTTGGTAGGATCAGCTTACTTGGTATTGATCATGGAATCATAAAATGATACACGCCAAATGAAACTATTCAGACCATTGTGCCTGTCCTCACTCATTGATAGTATACTTAATTAGTGTCAGTCTGCTGCTCTTTCCCAAACAACCATGCATGTTTTCCATCCGAATATGATATTGTTCTATCTTAAAATTGAATCTGCTTCCTCTGCCCTTTCAGGCAGTACATTGGAGCATGGGACACCCAGCAGGTTTATGTCTTCAAATGTCCACCACACTGTGGCTGCTGTGAAACCAGAAAGAGTTCTGTAAAATTCTGAAGTGACATCACGCACTGTGTACAGTTCTCCTGGATGGAGATGGGAGAGTAGGGGAAATGAAATTGAAGTGTTTTAAATTAATGCTCATTACTGCCATCATGACAGCTGCCATCATTTTGCTGCACCGGCAAAGCGGCTGCCAGGAGAGACTGTCCATCTGACGAATAGTTCTATGACACGCATGGGACTCAATGCCACGTTAGATTTGTTTGATTGTGTTGGTATTTTACAGATCAAGTGGCTGTCCAGCTAAAGAAGACCTTTAAGAAAGGGAGTTGCACATTTCAAAAGAGCAGCAGCAATGGCATCTTTCAGTAAGCCATCCTTGGCTAATCTCTGTGGTCTCATGTCCTCTAAATGGACACCCCCATTACCAGAATATACTTTCCTGCATCCTGGAGTCCTAATATTTGAACGAGTTAGATGTTTGAGGTTGCTCAATTTCTGATTAAAACCAGAAGTCTGATGTAAGTATCCTGTCCTCAAAATAGAGCAGGTCTCTTAACAGGCCAACCCCATTGTGGCCTCTTTGGTTTTGCTCGCTGCATGTCTTATTGTACTTGCTTCACAGTCTTAAAATTTACTGGTTTGTCCAAGTTAGCTGTGTAATCCAGCCTTACCTTAAGTAAATCTATTCCATCAAAGAATGCCTCATAGTCAGTCTATGATGGAGAGCATTCCAATGAAGACAAAGCTTAATAGCATGTTTTCAACGTATCATTAATTATCCTTGATTGTCTGACCTTTATGTTAATCCCTTGAATGTTTTCAATTTTGCTAAAGGTCAGGCCAACAATTTAGTTCCACCATTCCCATTTTCAAAACCTTGTACATTTGTATAGAGTGTGCATTGTGCTCCCTGAGTGTACAAAGCTCAGAGTGTCATTTATCTTTAGACTTGTGTAGAAAACCACTGTCTCCATTTGCAGTCTTTCTGTGATAATTTTTTGTTGTGTTAATCCATGGTGAATTATTTTACTTTTAATCCCCATTTAAAGTTCTGCTCCAGGTACAACAGAGATTTAATATTTTGTTTAGTGTTTCAGTATAAAGATTGAAATAAAGTGACTGGGTGGCTCAGTGGTTAGCACTACTGCTTCACACTTAGCTATCTGTCTGTGTGGAATTGGCACATTTTCCCTGCGTCTGCATGGGTTTCTTCCAGGTGCTCCAGTCTCCTCCCTCAATCCAAAGATGTGCAGGTTAGGTGGATTGGACATGATAAATTGCCCATAGTGTCCTGCAATGAGCAGGCTAGGCGGATTAGCCATTGTAAGTGGGGGCGGGGTGTTAAGGAGGGTCTGGGTGGGATGCTCAACAGAGGGTCAATGTGGACTTGATGGGCCGAATGGCCTACTTCTATGCTGTAGGGATTCTATTTAAATAAAATTTTAATGCACATGGATGTAAAAATATAATATGCCATTTATGTTAACCATCTCCTTTACCTATATTTTGTGAAGCTTCTAAATAAAATATAATTAATTTTATCTTGATCAAATAGCTGTCTTACTGAAGAGGACCCAAAAGGCAATGAGTTGCATATTTTGTTGGGGCTGGGACCGGCAGCAATGGGATCTTTGATCAACCCCTTCTTGGCTGTTGCTACTCTAGGAGGCCCCAGGCATCCACATGAACATCCCCATGCCCAAGAATGCTATCCAGTATCCTGGACTCTTGATATTTCAGTGGCCTGGAGTAAGCAGGATGTTTCAAAGTGCTCAAGGTATGGTCGAATCTAACCTTTCTCTACATTTCAATAACCCATCACTTTCAAATTCTTGAAAGTCTTTTTATCAGTGAAGAATGTAATGAACAATTGACAAGTGGAAAGAATGGCAATCAAAGCAATGGCAGTAAATACTCAATATCTGAGACAAAAAGGAAATCTTCAGAGGGTCAATTGGATAATACAAAGGGGCAAAGTAACCATGGGGTTCAGTTATTACCACTATAACAAGTAGGTCCAGGCAGTAGAACATAAGGTGTTTCCTAACAGTATGGTTTAATATGTTATAATTGAAATTTATAAGATTGCTATGTTTTGAAACTATCTTTAACTTAAGGTAAAATGATCAAGATCATTGTCTGCCTAACCATATGCCTGAGTGATGTGGATGTGGAACATTAGTGGGGCAATAGCTTGTTTTCCTGGAAAAAAGGTGTAAGTTGCTTATACTTAAAAATAATGACAGCAACATCTGTGGTTACATTGCTGGTCCAAAGAAAAGTTCAGATCGTTAAATTGTAAACAGTTATGGTTTAAACTGAAAATTTACTTCTAAGATAGACAGGATTAATGTGCATTTCTACCTGGATACAATGACCATGTGATTCATGTGTCTGAAAATGGCCTGTAAGAGGGGAAAGATTTTTATGATATCCCTGAATTTCACAGACACAGGCAGTTTGCAGGATCCAGGAGACAGAAAGAGCAGCTAGAGACCTAAAACGGTGAAAATATAGAACTGGGAGCTCACACTTTCATTGAAAAGAATAGATATGAGCCTACAAGACTTGCATAGCTTACACTAGAATAAGAATTGCAATTAAAATGTTCACAGTGAAAGATAGTTCTGGTTTTGAAAATTACCTGACTGGGAAAGGAAAGAAATATGAATAAACCCTTGTGAGCTAAGAATCACTAAGGACTGGGTTCAGAAAAAGGGACAGTTGTAAAATAAACTATAAAGTGAGTTTTTTTAGTTATGTTAAAAGCAAAACGGAAAAGTTCTGTTCCATGGTTTAAAGTATAAGTTGTCTGGCAACGGTAATGCTTAGTCAATACTGCCTTTAGCCTGTAATAGTACAAGTCTCAGAACTCTTGTTATAACATCCTTTAACTATTAACTCCAAGTTCTAATTTATTAAGCTGTCAGACTTTGGGGTCACCACAGATGAAGCTGTTTTGAGTGTTGATTTATACTAACGCTTGAAAGTTAGTTGGGCACTTAAGCAATCTGCCAGCTCAATATTAACATGTTCGCTATCCATGAACAGAGAAACTTCTCCATGCAGCTTGTATATGCAATTATCAATAGGATTTACAACAGTAAGTCAATTTTGAATATCCTTATGGTTAATTCTATCAAAGATCCTTGACACAATATTTCTTCCCAAAGAATTCCAACAAGTAAGACTTACTATCAGTATTTGCTAGGAGACTAATACGGTAGGCAACACATTAGGGGAATAGTTTTTTAAAAATATAAAGGTTTTTAAAATAGAAGGGAGGGGGCCATAAGGGTAGTGTGCTGACATAGATGGAGAACTGGTTGGCAAATAGGAAATGAGGAGTAGGAATAAACAGGCAGTGACTAGTGGACACCTTAGGTACTACTGCAGGGATCAGTGCTTCAGCCCCAGCTATTCATAATATATATTGATGCTTTAGATGAGGGAACTAAATGTAACATCTCCAACTTTACAGATGACACAAAGCTGAGAGTGAGGGTGAACTGCGAGGATATGGAGGTGTTCAGTGTGACTTGAGTGAGTTGGAAAATGCATGGCAGATGAACTATGAGCTTATCCACTTTAGTACCAGGAACAGGAAGGCAGATTATACACTGAATGGTGATGGATTGGGAAAGGGGGAGGTACAGTGAGACCTGGATGTCCTTGTGCAACTGTTGCTTAAAGTAAACGTGCAAGTACAGCGAGTGGTGAAGAAAGCAAATGATTGTTGGCCTTCAAAACAAGCAAGTTTAATTCTAGGAACAGGGATGTCTTGCTGCAACTGCACAAGGCCTTGGTGTAGCCACACCTGGAGTATTGTACACAGTTTTGGTTTCCTCATCTAAGGAAGGATGTTCTGGCTATGGAAGGAGTGCAACAACAATTTACCAGACTGATTCCTCAGTTCGAAAGACTGACACATGGGGAGAGACCAAATCAGTTAGGAGTATGATGGGTCCTGAAGAAGGTCACTGGACCTGAAATTTTCTCACCACAGATGCTGCCAGAACTGTTGTGTTTCTTCAGCTACTTCTGTTTTCGTTGCAGCTAGGAGTATATTCATTGGAGTTTAGAAGAATGAGAGGGGATCTCATAGAAACCTATAAAATTCTAACAGGGTTAGACAGAGTAAATGCAGGAAGGATGTTCCTGATGACCAGTGAGTCCAGACTAGGGGTCACAGTTTAAGGATACAAGATAGGCCATTTAGGGCAGAGATTAGGAGAAATTTCTTCACCCAGAGAGTTGAACCTGTGGAATTTTCTGCCACAGAAAGTGGTTGAGGCCAGAACATTCACGGTTTTCAAGAAGGAGGTAGATATATTTCTTAAGGTGAAAAGGACTAAAGGACATGGGGAATAAATGGGAACAATGGTTAGATGACCAACCATGGACATATTGAAGGGCAGAGCAGGGTCAAAGGGCCAAATGGCAGATTCCTGCTCTGTGTGTCTATGTTTCCATGATTAAATTATATCAGAATAAAATCCCTGGTCTGGATGGACTCTGCATTCATTCTTATTGAAATACATGAGGAAAGAGAGTGCCCAGGCACCACAATATGGTGAGAACAACTCAAATGAACAATTGACCAGTTAGCACAATATTAGGAAAGAGAAAGCAGAGGCATCATAATATATAATGTAAAAATAATTAGAAAAAGGGGAATAGCACAAGAGCAGTTGATGTGATTTCTATATTTAAAAAAGGGAACGAGAACAATTCAAATGAACACTAGACCAGTTAGTACAATATTAAGGACTGAAAAGATAATGTTTTTTTACTCATATATGTAGTCGGAAAAACATGTAGAAATTGAAAATCTGAAAGATAATCATCATAAATTTCAAAAGAAAAGTTCAGGCTTGTCCAACCTTATTGAGTTTTGTGAAGAAATAACAGAAAGGTTAGACAAGTATGATGTAGTGAATGTACTGTGTTTGTCAGACATGGAAAGAGATGTTCAATTTGAAACTTTTGTGGTCACCTGGGTGAAAACATGCATATGAAATTCAGCTCAGTTCAAGGTTGAATATCATGCTGAGATTATGGTCAGTTTGAAGTGAGTAGCTAAGAAATGGAGTAACATCAGTAAGAAGCAAGCAGAGGGGTCACTGGAATACAATTAGAAGAGGAGTATCGAGCAATTAGTTTTTCTTCTTCTCTAGCCATATATTGTGATACCTGACTCATATCATC